CATTCTCGACTGCGAGGTCACACAAAGAGAGACAAGAGTGGGGGTTGGTGTTAAGCGTCCACTGATCGGGGGTCCGCTCACACTTGCAACCTGCAGTATCCCTCCAATCTGCAGATGGGACTACCTCCAATCCCAATCCGGTCTGGCTGCTCCTGGAGCTCCAGCCGGAACCACCAAACGGGCCGCCTATAGGCAAAGGCCCGTGTCGGACTACGGTCCGACAATCTCAACAACAACAACAACAGGCCATCAAGTGGCCTTGGGTTAGTTACAGGGTAGTCTCATCTCTGGAGCTAGTTAAAACCAACATTGGCATACTAAAAATGCCGAGAGGCTAAAAAAATCAGCATTCCTTATCCCAGGTCATATCCAAACAAAGGAGTGGGTGAATCAACACGGCTGGACGGGTTACAGCAGCCATAGTCTTTACTCAGTAGCAACTGACTTGTCGCCCATGTTGCCCTAAAGAACCAAATTTGGAAAAAGGCTGGAAATACTATTCCAAATCCAATGCAGTCGGGCTTGGAGCCACCTGTTAAAGATAAGAAGCGAGTCTGCGTGCTGATATGCACACTTTAATAACACCAGGCGCAGCATTTATCAACACCCGTGACCGACATCAGAAAGGACTTGGCAAACATGAATGGTTAAAGAGAGGTGAGGGAAGTTAATCCTTCCCTAATATATTCATGTTCATTAGAGAGTCCTGAAGCCGCTGCATAAGGTACCAACACTATACCATCAGTGAATAGTGTCACATTTCCAATGGCAGCTCCCTTACAAAAGCGGCTTGATATTGGAAAAGTCTTAAAACCCCAATGGTCAGAGGGTCAGAGGATGGTATTTAATATTTTAAGTAAGCCAGTGTTTCTGAGGAATATTTCTCGAGACCATAGCTCTATTTTGATCCCACTACGACCTTATGTAAGCGGAGGAAAATAACATGATCAGCTCCCCAGGAGCGTGAACCAACACCCATTGGACTCCCAGTGTATGGTAACATAAGAGATCGAAGACGGGAAGTCTACGTGTAAGTTAATTTCTTATCACAAGCAAAGAAAGTGCATCTCACCCAGTCACTAAATCCGGTGACTGTCCAGGACCCAGATGGACGTCTTGTAAACGATATAAGTTCATGGTGGGAGAAAAATGGAAAACATAATCTTTGCCGAGTGGAATACCAGTCTAACGACAGCTAAAGATAGCGCTCTGCCGCCGACCTTCGAAAAACAGCGAAAGATACTGAGAGGTCTTCCATGTAAATGATATTCGTAACGTCAGGGGTAAGAGCACCCAAGAAACATACTATCGGTGGGAAACGACTCAATCAAGTGTGTCATCCTCCTCGTAACCAAGGCCAATGGAGTTTCGTAAGGATCCCATACCTTCTAGCAGCCTTCTAACGGCTCGAGATAGAGTTATATACAGTAGTGCCGCTTAGAGACAAAGGTCGGATAAATCGACGGGTGGACCCTCCATAAACCAGACTCTGATTCAGAACAAAAACATCTTTGCATATACCATCTTCTCAAGCAGCTTATTCAGGCACCAATTCAAATCTATAAAATGATAATTCAACACATCACAGTTGTCCTTCCCTGGATTACAAAACATCAACACTTGCCACTTTCCAACCATATGGAAGGACACCCTCACGTCATATTCTGTTGGAACTAATAAGCTCAATGTTTCTATTTTCATCAAAGACAGGGCGTTACAACGATTATGGAACATCATCTGTGCCAATGTTACATATAATTTGCACCCCACTGCTTTTCCACTACCCAGTCATACGAGGCGACAGAAGTAACGTTGTATATAATATAGAGATCCACGTATCCCATTTATTTATTTTTTATGTAAAAAGGTCAGGATTGTATATAACTTTAGGTTAGGTTAGGTTAGGTTAGGTGTATAATAATGAGTGAGGGAGAACAAATAATTCAAAGGGAGTGTATATTATACGTATACTTATGATTGGGGAGTAGACATTGTGGGGGAGCGCATATTAAATGATGTTGTGCCACTGCACGAATTTACTGTAAGGCGGCCCAGAAAATCCCTTATGACTAAGTGGAGATTGTAAGTTCCTTCCCCCACTCCAGGTCACTGACGAGTGGTCAAGAAATCGATTCCTCTGTACGGCGGAGAAGGTCAGGTGGAGGGCCTTCAACTCTCCGGAAAATTGTGACGATCTGATCCACCACAAAACTGCAGACTCGGCCATATTATCCCCAGTCTTCTTCAGGACAGGTGAACGACAGGGTGAAAACTCTTTAGGATAAGAGGTTTTTAGAAGTCGTTGTCGACACAAATAACGACCACAACCTTTGCCGAAAGTCTTTCAACAGCTGGCAATATAGAATTCAAGCATGCTGAAACTCGACCATGCAATGATCAACATTTATGTTGCAATTCCTAAGTGTACGCAACTTTCACACTTGTCTATCCCTTAGAACAGTAAGCTGACCAATATAGGATGAGTCGCCTCGTAAGCGAGCCATCTGTTCGTGGAATTGATTTCAGGCCTGGCTGTGGTATTGTCGCCAACCTGTTCAACAGCCACAGCTCCTCCATGGCAATTGATATCTCGCTCATGTCTGTGAGTGACCCGGACCCAGTCTGCCCTGTCCAAGCCTAGTACTACCTGGGGTCACGTGAACAAGGTAAACCTTCAGCTAGGCGAAGAATAATTGGAAAATGGTCATTACCATGCAGGTCATCGACCACTTCCCAGTCCCCCACTTCCTTCAATGTTCCAATGTTGTTCTTCTTGTCATCAATTTACTCTTTAATCCATCGATCCATCTCTTGTGCGGGCGTCCGATAGGTCGTGGTCCCCGTGGTGTCCAATTCAACCTTCTTTTGCCTAGTCTCCCTTACCCCATTCGCTGAACATGCTCATACCATCTTCATTTGCCCCTTTCAATGTCATTTTAAACTGGTGTTACATTTAAGGCTCTGGTTTTCTGATTCTTTGTTATACATAATCTGGTCACTCTTCCAATAAACCTGAGTACTCTTATTTCAACAACTTGTAGTTGAAATTCTGTTTTAGTTATGAGTGACCAAGCCTCAGACACATATGTTAGAATGGGTCTTACAGGTAGTAGGCAACTATCAAACAGGGAGGTATTACCGCCTGGGAAGATATTGGAAACATATTGTATTGTCTAATGGTAGACCCTGCTGCCATATGGCATCACAAAAATTTTGACCAAGTTCCTCATTTACACACACTTGCAGGGTCTCTTACTTTAACAACACAACATATATATTTTCTCACTCCTGGTCTGTTTTATTTTTCCTTTCTGTATGTATGTATTTTTATGGTATAATTTGTTTCTTCATTTTGTGTTTATATTCGCCCCCCCCCCCCCTGCCCCGATGTGAGTCGGTGAGCTGTGCCCGGGTCGGCGGATCCCCATTAAAGAATTCTTGTCTGTACTGATAAGATACAGCATACTTATATTAATATTATATTTACTAATTATGTTGTGGAGTTCAAGTTGCTGTATATTTTCTTCATTAAAGATTACTCTTAGGTTGTTACGTGATTCTGCTTATTAATTTTTTTAAAAAGATGTTGCATTCCTCTTTATTTCTACTTGTATTCAAAACTTCTGTTTTTGATTTGTTAATTTTCAAACCCTTTTCATTATTATTATTTTATCCCCTATTTATATACTGAAACAGTTAAACTGAAACAAGCATGAATATTTTTCTAAATGCATTGTTTTAGCCAAGTTATGTGCCAAATACATAATCTTGTAATTACCTATGTGTGAAGCATAAGTACTCTGTGTATGCTGAATACATGTGCAGCAGCTTCTCAGTTCAACTTGGCTCTACAAACCCCTTTAGCATAATCCTCGTCCATCAAACCAACGAGGGAACGGTAAACAAAGACGCGCAGACGCCGTAAAGAACTAAAGGGTTCATCTTGAAGCCAGAAGCGGTTGCCAAGTACTACCTCACAGCTGAGTGCAGAACGGAGTACCACAAAAGTTGAGGGCCATGATAGGTCAAGACAGTTCAAAACTGTCTCACCAGACTTGCGTGGACCAAGGATGAAGAAAGACGAAAGAGATGTCGAGTCCTTTGTGGAACTGGTGTAAAACAACTGGCTTAACCCAATGTCTACAGAAGAGTCTAACTTGACAGTTGTATCAAAATAAGGGCAGTACTAGACTTTTAAGCAGACAAAGTGACAAAGCTGAAGTTGATGACATTCTTCAATGTCACCACAAAGAGAGGCCATGGAAAGAAAGCACAAGGTGCCAAATGACCATGGTTGCTGAGAGTAGAAAGTTGCACATAAGGGATGTGCTGGCCCACCCACTGGTCCTCTACAATAGGCACTGGCAAACGCTGATGGCTCTCTACGGAAGACCAACACGGCTTCACTTGCCACAGAGCTGGGGAAGAGTGTTTTCCCTGCAGAAGACAACCCCATGCCGTCAACCTGCATCATTGATGGGATGAATCTGGTGCAGAAGATGAACGGCAACAACAAAACATTCGCAAAGCTGGCAGAATCTGCCTTGCACCTGGTCTTGAACGAGGGAGCATGCAGTCAAAGGACTGATGTGGTTTTTGACGTCTATCGTGAGACGTCAATCAAAGATGCTAGGATATGTAAGCGAAGAGCTGGAAGCAAAAACCGCCAGTACAATAATATTGCTAGAGGGCACAACTTCCTTCAGTGGAGAAAGTTCCAGTGCAGTTCTGGCGACAAGACCAGCCTCATCAAATTTCTGGTAGAGCAGTGGAAACTACCAATCCAAAGAAAAAAACTGGATAGCAAGACACTGTATTTTACCTGTGAAGAAGCCTGCTTCAGGATGACAGAATATGACTGCGCGGATGTCACCTACAGTATTTACAGTCCACACAAGAAGAATCTGACGCACGTCTGGTGCTGCATGCATTGCGTGCCGCATATTCCGTCTCGAAAGCAGAAGTCACAGCTGGGGACACTGATGTCATGGTCCTCTGCCTTGGCTTCCCTAAGGACATCCCGTGCCCCATTTCCCTGAAGCGTGGAACACAAAACCGCACACGCTTTGTCGACACCAGCAAACTAGGAAGTGCAAAAGGACAGCTTGGTAGGGTTACCATGCCTTTACAAGCTGTGCCACCGTGAGCGCCTTAGCTGGTAATGGGAAGCTGGGCGCCCTGCACCTGCTGAAGAAGGACATAGCATTCAAGAAGACTTTCAGCCAACTTGGCCAGTTATGGGATGTTTCCCCAGAACTGTTTAAGAAGGTCCAGCAGTTCATTTGTCGCATGTATGCTGCAGGTAACAACACCAATATGGTGAAGGAACTGTGTTACCACGTCTTCTGTACCAAACGGGAAGTTGAGTCCAGTCACCTTCCACCATGCAGAGTCATCCTTCTGTACCAGACCCTACCCAGAACGGGTGGACGACAGATGGTGATGACAAGCTAACCACCCACTGGATGCGCATTGCGCACGCCACCCGCACCAGATATTATGGTTTGGGAATTTTTATACTGTAAGTGCGTGCATTCCTGCAAACTGCCAAACTGGTACCTCCCTTGCCAATGAGCTAAAATGCACAGACCTTCGCAAGCTACAGACAATGTTCTAAACAGAAGCAAGAGGAAGAATCTGCTTTTGAATTCGGAAACTATGATGATGACAGAGATGTGGGGCCCAGCAATGAACGATAAATGTTGTTATTCTTTGATGACTGCTCAGCATACTTTTGTGTATTAAACTGTATTATGCTTTATTGTGAAATCTATTTTGCTGTATTGTATACTGTATTGTAGTAGTTATTGATTTGCTGTATTGTATTGATTGTATTGTATTGATTATGTTGGATTGTAAGATTATGATGTATTAAATTCAAATTGTATTTCCCGTATTAAGATTACTCTACAATTATTCAAGTCTATTTTGTAAAAAAAAGAAGACATTGGCTTTAAATAATTAGTAAATCTAATTACACCCTGTAAATCTAGCAACAAAACTTCTTATTCAATGCCTAATTGTTCTGTTTCCGGGATATTATTCCTGAGACTAGGAAAAAGGTCTCTTACAGCTATTTATGGGTGGGTGTTAGTTAATTAACCATCACTGAGTTATGGTAATATCACAGAGGACATAACTTAGTAGAGACGTTCATCCTGCAGGGGGTCTGGTTATTCAAGTGGTGATGAGCACTAATAAACTACCACCCTGCCGCCTCAGGTGGTTTCGGTGGGTGAAATTTTGAGTCCTTGCCCATGGACTGCATGAGCGATGACCTTGCCACTGCCCCACTAGCAGCTGCAACTCCTTACAGGCGAATGTTTTTGAGGTGACACAGAGCAGCCATTGTGGTACAAGGCTCATCAAGGCCTCAGTGGTAACCGTTGTTGGTTCTTCAGCCGTAAAGGAGATAAAATTTACATTTGTTCAGGGACTGTCTCTGTGGTTACGCAGACTAGTGCCAAGAATGAAGTCGGTTTGGTGGCACTGACGACCGGTCCTCATCGAGAATCTGCTGAAGTAGCAATTCCGACCGGTGCCAAAGCAGTAGCCGCTGAAGCGGCAGTGCCGATCAGTGCTGGCAGAGTATTTACTGAAGCGGAAACACCGTCCTCAGGTAGCACAGGGGGAGCAATTTCCAAAAGGATATCGTTAGTATGGTTGCGGTTTCTTACGTGCAGGGGTTGCTCTGCAGACGGTGGTCCAGCTGCGGGGTGGATATGTTAATGGGGATATTGAAGGAGCTGAAACTGTAAATTTTAATTTAATGGGTAGCATAGAGTGGCGAACATAGACGGTTGTATAGATTGGAACGGAGCTGACCCTCTTCCTCGATCTGATGGCCAGAACCATTCTCCCAAACTTGTAGCTTTCACATTGCTTCGAAAAGGCAGCATAGTTTACCTTGGAAGCGGCTCACCACAAGCAGTGACACTGTTTGACTGCTGACAGCAGGACAAACACCAAGTATAGTTTTCATCTTTTTTTTTCCGGCAGTTCCGACTGATGTGGACGTACTATTGACAATATTTACACCTCCCAAGATTTTCAACAAGGTTCCGGAACGCTTCGAAAATATCAGACTCTGAACCACCCCACGACCTTACTGAAGGTCCCATAACGATTATATGAAACAGATGTCTCAGAAACAGATTTGATTTCAGTACTCCGTGCGCTATTCCTTAGAGACTCATCAGATTTTTTCTGCACCTACTGTTCCCTTTCGAGCACGGGTCACCGATCACGGAGTACCTCATCTATCGGCAGTTAAAATTCCAAGACGAGACCTGTGAGCCAAAAGTTTGTCCTCGGTGGTACAAAGCTCTCATACACAAACGTCCCCCAACACGGAAATTCAACCATCCAGCTCAGGGCGGTCTTAGAAGCTACTCCTTAGGCGGGGGCGGCTGACGACCTGTAACTCCTTGTGTAGGGTCTCACCAGCAATTAGTTTGGCGTGGATGACCCTACCAGATGTCTACAGGCAGCTGTCAACATAGCATAATGGATTCTCGGAACTCTCACCACGACTAGTCGGCTACTAAGGGAGGAGGAAGGGAGGACAGACAGGAAGATTATAGGATGAATAACTAGTAATTAATAAGGACTGGCAGCATGATGGTAAGCTTATAATTACCAAGGGCAGCCAAGATGGAAGCAGACCAGAGGGTCTCCCCAGCCAATGCTGGCAGGAACAACATGGCGCCCCATCGTGGCCCATAACACTCTTGAAGAGGGTCCAGCATCGTCACGTAGGCTGCATCTCGCATCTTGCGGGCGAAGAACAGTCCACCTACAGGGGGAAAACACTGAGTAAAGAACTATCGTCCTTTTAGAAGAATATTATGTGAATAACACAATAAAGAACAATTCACTTACCGGACAAGAATACTATAAGTGATGAACAGTTACCCTCTTTGTTCTCACCCGAGGGCCTCGGGTGAGAACAAAGAGTTAAAAACTATCCACCTCACGAAAGGACATTATGTGATGTGGATGTAGAGCAGTCCACCTAACGGAAAAAATCACAGTAAAGAACTATTCTCCTACTGAGAGAACGTGAAAACTAAGTGAAGAAGAATCTACCTCCTGGGAGAGAATATCGAACGAATAACACTAATACCGTGAACATGGGTGTCGTTAGGTTATGGTAAGTGGGACACGTAACCAAAATTTTTCTGCTCTGCCCCAAACAAATCAAGATCAATGAAGTGAGACATTTAGCGTCAATCCTGTACTGGTGAGGTTTACATCTGTATATGTGAATGGTTATTATATTGCTCAGGTGGTAAGGCTATGTTAGATCTTCAGCTACCTTTATCTATCTACTGACATTTATATATGTAGTGCAACCTCTGGAAACTTTTGCAGAAAAGATCCAAAATGGAACCAAAATGGCAGAATTGTCTTGAAGGGCCCGGGCCCCAAATAATTTTAGCAGCAAGTGACGGCCCTGACGTGGAAAGAAAAAGAGTGAAGAATATCGCTTTCTTTTTGAAGTATAGAGGGCAGCACACAACACCAATAAAAAGAACACCGTAGAAAGAACAGAACACCAACAACAAGAACAATGTGTAGTGAAAAACATAGCAACAAGAAAAAAAGTTAAAGAAACGCACAATACCATGCAGAACACTATATAAGAATAGTATAGGGTAAAGAAAGGCACACCAACATAATTAACAGAGCAAAGAAAAACACACACTGGCCGTCAAACTAAGTTACACACACTTTCGCCCCGTAGGGCAGCTGCTAGTGGGTGTAAGGAATGACGCAGTGGAACTCGCACCTCATAGAATGTGCTAAGACAAGTGAGTGAAGTGGTGTTTTTTTATAAAAAAGTATTTTATATGGTAATTTTTTGGGGGGATATAACGGTAAAATAGTGTCCAAGACAATGGTAGTTATGATGAATTTACAGAGTCCTTCAAAGGTTTTGTTCTGTAACAATATCTACCATAGTGGCGAACACTAACGCTAGCATCTCACCTGTCACTTCGTCCTTCATTTATGATTTTAAGAGTGGTTTTCTTGAGGAGCGTCTTGACCCAACCAGTAATTATGGTTAAAGCGTCATCAGGCATAGGGAGTGTGCAGGCGGATTTTGCGAGGTTGTCCACATAGTCGTATTTCTGGAGGCCAATATTGGATGGGATCCATATAAATTGGATAAGGGCGTCTGTCTTCGCCCTTATGAGGCAATGCTGGATTTGTCTTACTAGATCCTGACAGATGGGATGGGGTGAGGTTTTCTATTCTAGTCCAGAACGAGAATCACTGATCACCAATCCACTCCGGTCCTCGTCCAGCAAGTAGTTGATGGCTCCCAGGATGGCCTTTAGTTAACACCTTGTTGTACTCGCCCAATTCCTGGAGGCGATGCATTGTGTCGGAGACTTATGTCATTCTGGAATAGGCCGCATAAGCGCAGCCTGCTGCACCCGTGTCTTGTACCTGATCCGTCGGTGTAGATGATGATTGAGTCCTCTGGGATGACGGTTATGACTTCACTGATCTCCTGTAGTAATGCTTGTCGTTGTAATATTGGATGGTCATCTGTCTTAGGCCCATATGCAAGATCAGCTGTGGTGTACACCATGCCGTGGTATCCCGGCAGTCGTAATACAATGGAGTGAAAATTTTGTGATTATTCAAGATGGGCCATGGTGGTACCCGACTGTCGTTTGTTGTTACTACGTCATCGTAGTGTAGTCAGGTGTACCAACTGCCGGAAGACTTGGGGGTTGGTATGCTTGCACCCTGAAAACGTTGTCAGTGGCACGAAACGTTTGCTCTTGCTACACGATTTACGAGCATAAAAAACTTGAATCCCAAGCTAAGGTGCACCTCATTTTCCTATTTTCTTGGATTATAAGCCAATTCTGGGAATAAAATGCGATCATTTACAGTGAATATAGGTAAATAAAGCCTGTGAAAACCATAAAAACGTAGGAATTGAGTGTAATATCTGTTCCTTTCTTCTTTATCCTTATTAAATCAAACAATAAAGTTATAAGTTTTTCATGAACTTGGGGTTGGGTGAGTGTAATAAAGAGAACTATGGCCTGTTCTGTGGATGAAGTCAGTAGAATGTACCAAAGTACAGTATTAGGTTTTATAATTTTGTTATGACAGTGATGAACTCACTGTACAGATGAATTGGGATAAAATCTTGAAAAAATATCACCATAACTGTTAGTTTTCTATCAAACAGGAAATTATCTTTATACCAAAATTTTTGTACAAGATATGAAAACTTGAGATAATGTTTCCTCCTTTTCTCCACCTGATTATATTAATGCAATAAATACCCTTTCAGAAAAACAAGACATGAACACTTTCCCAATGTCAGGAGTAAAAATGCATACAATATGATAAGACATGGACTAAACCAGAAGTCGGAGAAAAGTCTCTGCTGTTTAAATGGTCTTTTATTTGGAAAAATATTACATGTAAATACTGTATATGGATCCCCACCAGAGAGCCTTCATACAGTTAGTGTGCAGACATTTGTTTACAAGGCATATACTCAACTATTATGGAAATGAAGACATGTTAGGTTAGATTAGGTTCATCTTGTGAGCAAATGTCATGGAACCCATATACAGTATATATTCATGAAAATCTACTAACTAATCAGAGACTAATAATGTTAAACATAGAACAAGATGATAATTAAATGGTTTAAAAATATACTCAATACAGTCTGCAATGTTAATTGCAAATCATTCCTGCATTTTTTAATGTTTAATATAAACTGTAATAATAATAAGGATAAGAATACAATGATAATGCTTATTTCAGAATATAGCCTTTATTAAAAGTGGGATATGTTATAATATATGGGTGATCAAGAGTAAAGTATTTTAAAAGAAAAATCATCCACAAATTTCACAAATAAATTAATACGTAATATCCACGTGTGTATGCAGAGTGTAAAATAAAAAAAAATAATAATTAAGGCATACAGTATGTTATGATTTCTCCAAGTCCTTCTAAAGTAAATGGAATTGATGATATTACTATCTTTTGGCCATCCAACGAATTTAATGATTTTAAGTTGACCGATTTTTACCAGTTAAGTTAGGTTACGTTAGATTAGTTAAGTTGGGTTAGGTTAGGTTTGGTGACATTGAAATTATGTTTTTCAAATGCCAAGTAGGTGGATGACCTAAACATTTATTTTACCAAATTGATTATGAGTTGATTAAAAACATTAGTTGTGTTTTTATTACAAATTCAGACTCCGTAAAGTTCTAATGACAATCACTTCATGATAGATGTTTCACCCTATACATTAAAGCTACTTTACGTAAGAGGAAAAAATTAGCACCAAATTGTATTGTTTAATACCAAAAGAAGTCATTGATGATAATATTTAATAACAATATTTCAGGTATTACGGCCTGGTCGTCGGGACGGAACACCGTCGTAAGTCGAGGAGAGACTGTAATACATTTTCATCTTTAAACTCCTTGTATCTTACCTAACTCACCTTGATGCTCCACTCAATTATAGCTAGATGTAATAATTGTCGAAAGTAATCACAGGTATGACTCCCTTTACCGTTAATTGTTTTTATATTACAATTCTTGGATATTCAAAGATAATGAAATTATGAATCTTCAATAAATGTGATATACGTACATTCTAATGATGACAACAGAAATCTGTCAGACTTGACTAATTATATATTAACTGTAACCAGAAATTAACCTAAGTGAATTTGTCCTTAATCCAACCTTTAAAATATGAAAGACAGTATACTTTATTTTATGATAGTTAAGTCAGTTTCCAGTTAGGTTAAGTTAGGTAGGTTAGGTTAACATTTTTATATAGATCATGAAAATTTTAAAGGGCTTATAATTTTTGTTCTATGAATTTCTCCAAAAAAAAAGGATCAAAGTTTTGGAATCACCATAACAATATACACTATAGTACATTAGAAAAAACAATAATTTTCTTAGTGTGTGTTGCATATCAAACCAAACAAATCTGAGTTTCCTTTGGAATTTTTTATTTTTATTTATTTTGTAACAGACAAAATTACCCTCAATATTTAAATGTTGGAAACTTATAAATATTAACCCTCATAAATATAGATGTTTCAGAATTCGCAAATTTAACTAACACAATATTAATGACTTTATTTTCACTTACAGGTGGAGATACAGCTGACTATTCACCTTTTACCAATACTGAAGAAATAAATCTTGGTATCATTTGATTGATGGGGAATTTTTCCGGTTCCAGGGAAGATTTTGGATGTTGCTTTCTGACCTAACCTCGGAACTGGTTCCCAGACTCGGAACAGAAAAATTTGGAGACTTTCCTTAAAATCCCCAAATTACTCATAGACCAGAAAAAATGCAGTTTCTGGAATTTTCTGAACATATACCTTGGAGAAATCATAACATACTGTATGCCTTTAGGAGATGACGAACGGTCCTGTAGGGAATGCCATCTTCTCCTGGCGCTGTAGCCTTCCCTCTGAGATAGGCTTATCTCAGCACAGACGATTTCCAGTGTAAATCCTCGTTCTATGAAGGTCTCTCGGAGGTAGTTTTGTTTTCTTATGGGTAGGGCCGTGTCTCGAGATTGGGCAACCCAGGATTCCATATTCCCAGGGACTTTGGTAAAGGAGAGTGGCTTCTTTCCTTTTCGCAATTCTGTTGATTTTTTCCCAGATGTCAGCAGTAGAGGTGGGGTGACTAATGCTTGAAAAAAAATGGTTCCAGTGATCTGAGAGAACGTTAATCTGGATATTACTCTAATCCTGGACAGAGAACCTTG